ATTTGGCGGCAGCCTCATATCCTCTCGACAGCGCGTTGCCAAACAAATGTTGTTAAATAGAGATGTTGTGTTCTCGATAGTGCCGCCCTGCCCTGACATTGGCAGTATACTTGTTGTTGGGGTCCGAAGCCTCAGACATCCCACGTGCCTTAGGTGCATTAGTCCATGTTCGTGTGCCTCCCCAACTGCTTACAGGAACAGCTGGCAGCGCCCAAAAAAAAAGAAACATGCAGTGAATGCTTCCAATCGAGCGCGCCAGCGCGTCCATGAGTTGGAGAGGGTTATCAACTTGTGGGAGGGGGATGTCGACTTTTGAGCTGTTGATGCTAGCTCAAGTGAAAAGCCCCTAAGGATCTTTATAAGTCTTTCTTGCCACTGCGCAGAGTTACTTGCCATGATTTCTCCCCCTCATTCTACTTGTGCCAATCCACCCGTTGCCATGTTCTGTGTCAAGTACACATCAAAGCATTATGTCGCTCGGCTTGCTGACACCTTGCAGTTGCATATTGCGTCATTCTCGGAGTTGCTGCAAACCGTTTCACGAGAACGCCGTACAGGCAAATGGTAAAAAGCCAAGATCAAAACGATATCCAAATAGAAACCAGATAGCGCACTTGTCCTGCTAGTAGCAGAATCAATAGGCGTCGTGCAACGTCACACGCCCCAAATCAATGCTTCGCTTTGCACGGCAAAACAGGCCTTCAAATGCTGGCCCAAGCGCTGAGCCAAGAAGAATGTCGGATTATTCGTGTGATTTCTCGGCACGAGCAATCTGCTGCCTGCTTCGTGTCCACATCTACCCCCTTGAAACTTTCCCAAAATGGCCTTCTTCTCAGATCTCTACCTGAAAGACAAGCATTTGTATTTATCCAGACACCTTTCACAGACCCCCGAGACCTTGACTTGATACTCACCGCTCTTGCCAGCCATGGCTGATGACTTCGGTGTGCCTCCATGGCGCGAGGAGCGCGGTGCCGCCGCGACATGCTCGAGGACGTGCGGCAGAGCTGCGCACGCTGCGCGACCAACTGCGTGGACAGCTCACGCCTCTGGGCGGAAAGGTTTGCGCAGGGCGCAGGCAGTAGACTTTCAATGCCTGTGTTTGAGCCATTCAAGAATTGGGAAAACAGATGCTTGGGACCCAATCAGTGCCGGAGCTGGGTCAGATGATCTGATGGCGCAACGAAACCCAGGAATTCAGAGGATCTCCTCTCACACTAAGGAAAGTTTCAACAAGTGTCCTGGGAATGTGTTTTTTGAAGCTATTATAAACAACTTGCTAGGACACTTGTTGAAAGTAGTGTGGAGAAGCACTTCCGCGCCCTGACCCGCGCGATGATTTCGCCTATCTCCTCAGATCCTGACGAGGCTTGGGTGATCGGCCACCTGACTTACATCCTGGTCATGTCGGAAGATATGTGTTTCAAAACTGTTCGTTCTTCCCTGGAGGTGTTCAGCGGGCTCCATTTTACGTTGACGGGCTAGCGCTTGAATGGGCTCTCAACACGCGTGAGCGCTTGTTTGTGAATAGGCTCTCAACAGTCGTGGGCGCTTGTGAATGGGCTCTCACCAGCCGTGAGCGCGGCTGGTTGCTGGTTGCTGGTTGTTGGTTGTTGATTGTTGGTTTTTGGTTGTTTATTTTTGTTCTTGTTTAATAGTTCTTGTTTGTTGTTTGTTGTTTGTTGGTTGGTGTTTGGTGTTTTGTGTTTGGTGTTTGGTGTTTGGTGTGTGTTGTTTGTTGTTTGTTGTTGCTGCTGCTGTTGTTGTTGCTGTTGTTGTCGTCGTCGTTATTGGTGGTGCCGGTGATGGTGGTGGCTAAGGTGGTAGCAGTTGTGGTGGCGTAATGAGTGAACAACAACATCTTCCAGCGAGCTACCCGCTTGCGACTTTTTCATGGATGTTGCCCAGGATTCGGGCCCTTCCTTTTAAAGCAAGCAATGATGAACTTGCTCACGTCACAGAGCGCGTGTGCACAAAACGATTTACTCTTGAACAGACATGCGACCAGAAAAAGGGGCAGGTGAGAAGCGTGCCCTTGCCACAAAATGAGCTTGAGACTGTTCTGAAGTGGTCTTCAGCTGTGGAATCGTGTATGCCGGATCAGTGTATGTTTGTAGCATAACAACGCGGGGAATGCAACCCTAGCAGTTGCTCTGCGGTTGACATGTTTTGAAACATCCACCTGCACATGAAGTCGAAAGGCCGGTTCTTTGCCTCCCTTTTGGTTCCCAGTCTCACTGAAGAGACGCAGACTTCCCTTTTTTCTCCGAGAGTCACGAATCGTCAGGCATCACTCGGCCCTCACTCAGCGGAGTGCCCTGAGCAGCTTGACTTGTAAAACTAAGGGTCTGGGCTAAGCTGATCGATCGGTTTCAAAGCTTCTGTTGACAACCGGGAAAGACGCCCCTCGACCTCGGGCAGGAAGTCTCGGGAAGTGGAAACCCGATAAGCACGTCTCTCAGCCTCGTTTGGAAAGTAGAAAATGGAACGGTCGTGGCTTTGAAAGAACAAGCAGTCTAGGTACCCAAGATTACCCAAGTACTTGCTCCATTTTGTTGGGCTAATCGTATCGTTGAGGAATTCACCTGGTGCAAGCCTTGAAACCTTTTGTCTCGGATGTCTGCTTACAGTTTGCCGCTCTGGTAATTTCCTCGTGTTGCGCTGTTGGTGTGCCTTGTAGGACCCAAGAGATATTCGGGGCTCGAGCCCCAGTCTCTGTGAAGGTCACGTGTGGTTTCCCTACGCCCGAGCTGAAAAATGCAACTTTGCGGTTGGCCAGGCGCTTCCTATGTGCAGTTCCTGTGGGGCTGCGTTTCAGGCTCACAACCTGCCCAGCCGGCGAGTCTTGACGCGGCAAGAAATGCTGAAGCAGAAGTCGACTTTGCAACCAATCCCGGGGGAAAACCCGGCGGCTTAAACAAAACATGATTGACCATTTTGACAAGGAGGTTGAGCTTGCGTTGACGCTCCGTGGATTCGGCACCCCGGCAAGATTCTTACCTCGGGATACGAAGTGGTCCCCTTCTTTTCGCACACAGCGAAGGCCTGAAAAGACCTCTTGAGCAACAAAAACGTTCAAGATCATTATTCTTGTAGTTTTGACTCTTTCCACCGGTCCATTCGGCCATGTGGCATGAAGGCCCTTGATAGGACGCCAAGGACCTCACGATCAGGAGCATTAAATTGGCAGACTGTACAACGAGCCAATTCCGTGCTGAAGATCCTTCATTTGCGGGAGCAAAAACTTGCTTACTTCGGGTTGATGCTTGTCCCTTGTCAACTTGTTGTTGTTTACGGTGATTTCCCCACCGAAAGGAACCCGACCTTTTCAAAATGGGCAGGTGTCCGCACAATTCGCATCGACGTTCCAGGCCTTGGCAGTCGCCTGGTGGCAAGATATGGAGCAGCGCAACCTGCCGCGCGCCCGCCGGAGTCCCAACTCGGCGCGGAGTCGAGGCACCGTGGCATGTTGGTTGGAATTTAAAGAGGGAAGCCAAACGGAGGCAGCTGGGGGAGGTACAGACACCCAAACAAAGCAATTTCAGCCACGGTGAGAAGCACCTAGCTCTCATCCTTTTGTTTTTGTTGCCTTTCAGTGGTTTCCCCAGTTCCGAAAGTGAACTACGAGATGTTTGCGTAAGGGCACGGGGGTGCAACACGCACTGCTGGAATGGCACGCCCTTGTGAAGTCCTGACGCAGTCCTCAGGAAGAAGGATGCCCCATGCGAGATGGACGTGTTTTGGAAAGAAGGGACGCTCAAAATTCGTGTTTTTTCTCGCGGTGTCCCTTCAAAGGCGAAGAAGGTATCCTCAAAACACCCAAATCTTGAATAGCGCTCCTTCACTGGACGCACATCACCAAAAAGGCCGCCACGATGGCACAGAGCCGAAGGCTGGCTCAGCTTGGAATCTGAGGTGAGCACTACGAGGCGATGATCCAAGTGGATGCCCTGGTGTCGCTGGCCATTTCAACTAGGATTCCAGGATGATCCTCCAGGTTGCTTGATGGTGGGAGTGCAATATGAAAGAGGAAGTCCTTCACAGGGGGAACCCCCCCCCTTGCTCACCCGCCAGGCTTATTAATTGAACATGTTTTCCTGAGTTTGCTTCTCTCTTGAACTTGTTTCTTGTGAAAGAGTGGTGACCCCATTTTCTATATTGGCGCATGTTCTTTCCGAGTTTTTGAATCGTGCGCCCTCAAAGGTCTAGAGATGCTGCAATGGCTGCTATTCCTATTGGCTTCTGTAAGCACGGGAAAAGCGCTGCACACAGTTTTGAAGGCCCGACCCCTGATGTGTGCGTGTGTAACATTGTGTTTGCGTCTCAGAGCGTCCTTACCATGTCTTTTCGATGAGGGTGATTGTGACATTTTACATCTCTCAGTTTTTTCGGGCAATGGACATTCAATTTCCGTGGCAAATTCGGCTCCTCCAAACGGCGTCTTCCTTTTGGGCTTCCCCCCTTCGAAACGGCGTGAACCACCTTTGAAAGGAGTCCCCAATTTTGACGCCACCCCCATTGGATCGGGTTTGGGAGGTGGTCACTGCGCATTTGTGGCAGGCATTGGACGTTTTGCCTCAAGAGAGCTTTGAGGTTTATTCTGATGGGAGCGCAACGGAAACTTGTGGCCAAGCCCTCGCAAAATGCGCCGATAGTTCAGTTCCCAAGGGAGGGAGCCTCCAAGCAGCTTCATACGACATAGTCCTGTTTGCTGGAAACAAGCGAGGCAGGGGTCCTGGTTTTGATCCATTCAACTTTCTCTTCAGCCCAGGGCCATGCCCTTCCCTGATTTTTGGCGGTTCCTGAATGAGTGTTTCTCACAATGGATTTCGAACCCCCTGTTGGTGGAATTTAATTAAGGGGAACCAGAAGGAAACAAGCCAACCATCTTAAGGACCTATTTTGGACAACCGTGTGACACATGGGAACCCAAGGGTTCCCTCCAAGACAAATGCGGGTATGCCGAGGTCCATGCCGGCGTCCAAGATTGGGAAGCGACTCAGCAGTGGCGGCGAGCCCAGCAGAAGCGGGAAGATTCAAAAGTTGCTGTGTCCGCAAGATCCTTTAGCCCCACTCCTGGTTCCCTGTCTCAAGACGCAGTTTGCATGTCGGTGCGGTCATGACATGCGCACTCCAAGTCCCAGATGTGAATCAACAACTTCCCAAAGGCTCACCCTGCGCATGAAGCAGCCACATTCAGACGCCCTGGCCAATGCAGGCTGACTTCGCATGGTCCCTTCAAAAATACAGCAGGGCCAGTCAAAACATATCCTTTGAGGAAACGGACCCGAGAGCGCCTCGCCCGTATCAATGTAGAAGCTCTCAGGTTCGAGCGCCTCTGTGACAAGGGCCTCCTCCCCGAGGAGAAGTGGACTGCGTGAAAGGCGTTCCGGAGATAGAGCAACGAGTGTTCACGACTTTTGGGGCAAAAATGAAAACCCCCAAAAAGCATGGACTCACATGAGGTTGCTATGCGTTGTTGATTTCTGTCTTATTTAAGGGCTGCCGCCCAGTGCCGCCGACCCCATACAGTTAAGTACTCCAAAGAGGGCTGGCTTCTTTTTGGCTTGCCTTTAAGGCAACCCAAAAGAAGGGCACCCTCAAACAAACACAGCCGCTAACAGAGCACAAGCAACACGTTCCTTTTGGATGCTACAAACATGGTTGTCCTGCGTAAATGATCGGACCTGTTTATGTAGCTCGTTGGCTCAACCGGTTTGATGACCGTGATGATAACTATCATCGTAGCATCCTCGGCATCACCAGTGCCGGCTAATAAGAGATGATGATGACCATGATGATAGTGAGGATAAGGGTGAGGACTGTGATGATAATTTTCATCGTAGCATCCTCTGCATTGCCAATGCTGTTTAACGTTACTTTTGAAATGCATATAAGAAAGTAAGAAAGAGATGATGATGACCATCAGGATGAGAAGAGTGATGATGATGATGACGACCATCATCATGATGATGATGAGGAAGATCCTGATGATGACTGTGATGATAACTATCATCGTAGCATCCTTTGCATCACCAGTGCTCCCTAATGAGAGATGATGATGACCATGATGATAATGATGACAAGGATGAGGACTGTGATGATAATTACCATCGTAGCATCCTCTGCATTGCCAATGCTGTCTAACGTTACTTTTGAAATGCATATAAGAACAAGAAAGAGATGATGATGACCATCAGGATGGTGATGAGAAGAGTGATGATGATGATGATGACGACCATCATCATGATGATGATGAGGAAGATCCTGATGAACTATCTATCATCGTAGCATCCTTTGCATCACCAGTGCTCCCTAATGAGAGATGATGATGACCGTGATGATAATGATGACAAGGATGAGGACTGTGATGATAATTATCATCGTAGCATCCTCTGCGTTGCCAATGCTGTCTAACGTTACTTTTGAAATGCATATAAGAACAATAACAGAGATGATGATGACCATCAGACCATCATCATGATGATGATGAGGAAGATCGTGATGATGACTGTGATGATAACTATCATCGTAGCATCCTTTGCATCACCAGTGATGATAATAATAATAAGGATGAGGACTGTGATGATAATTATCATCGTAGCATCCTCTGCATTGCCAATGCTGTGTAACGTTAATTTTGAAATGCATATAAGAACAAGAAAGAGATGGTGGTGGCTATCATGATGATGATGAGAAGAGTGATGATGATGATGATGATGACGACCATCATCATGATCATGGTGAGGATGATCATGATGATGACTGTGATGATAACTATCATCGTAGCATCCTTTGCATCACCAGTGCTGCCTAATAAGAGATGATGATGACCGTGATGACAATGATGATAAGGATGAGGCCTGTGATGAAAACTATCATCGTAGCATCCTTTGCATTGCCAATGCTGTCTAACGTTACTTTGACGACCATCAGCATGATAGTGTGATGATAACTATCATCGTAGCATCCTTTGCATCACCAGTGCTGCATAATAAGAGATGATGATGACCGTGATGATAATGATGACAAGGATGAGGACTGTGATGATAACTATCATCGTAGCATCCTCGGCATCGCCAGTGCCGGATAATGAGAGATGATGATGGCCGTGATGATAATGATGATAAGGATGAGGACTGTGATGATAACTATCATCGTAGCATCCTCGGCATCACCAGTGCCGGCTAATAAGAGATGATGATGATGACCGTGATGATAATGATGATGAGGATGAGGACGGCTAGTAAGAGATGATGATGATGACCATGATGATAATGATGATAAGGATGAGGACTATCATCGTAGCATCCTCTGCATTGCCAATGCTATCTAACGTTACTTTTGAAATGCATATAAGAACAAGAAAGAGATGATGATGACCATCATGATGATGAGAAGAGTGATGATGATGATCAGATGCAGCGTCGCTCATGATGATCATGATGATCCTGATGATCATCACTACGCATCTCCAGCATCACCAGCAGTTACCGTGAT